GACACAAAAAAAAAATAATAAAGTACTAAAAAAAATGTTAAATCCCGAAATCTATCAGAAAAAGTCGTTTTGGTTCACAGCCTAAATAAAAAGTTGAATTTTGTCGAGTAGTGTTATTGCCTGACAGATTTTCAGAATCGACCACGAGAACGAGAATCTGTGGTAGCCACAATTTTGAAGATAAGAGAAAACGAAAAACGCAGTATCGTAGAGAACGACCAGAATGACTGGTTTTGATCGGACTAATATTATAGACAGCATGAAGAACTTAATTTTCAGTTTCTTACCCTGCACCTCTCAGAGCTGCAGACGCTACTTATTATCTTTCTCGCTCGCACACACTCTGCCCTGGGCAGTGCGTGACCTTTCGCGGAGAAGATGTAGAATCTACATTTAAGATCTAGAATATGGGCATTTCCGCCGAATGTTTAAAAATGTGTTAATAATCATCGTTTTTTTTGTATATACTTATTGTTTACTAGCTGTAGAATTCAGATTAAAAAAAGTCGAGCGGATTCGATATAGTTTATGTGTGTACAGTTTATATGTTATAAGTAGGCGAAATATGGGTGTGTGTAGGTGTAACGAAAGAAAAAGCGAGAAATGAAGACGCAGGATCTGTTTAATATGCGAGAGAAGTGGGTGATAGATCAAGACGTAGGAAACGTGAATGCGATAATGATGGCGATCAATTAAAGACTATAAGAGAGCAGGCGGACCGAATTACCCGTGCCGTAATGCAAGCGAGAGAGAGAACGAAAGAAGCGATAGAAGCTCGGGCTGCTGCTGAGCCGAGTACGAGCGATGGATAGGGAGAGACAATGCGAGAGAACAGGCTGAACCTGCAGTAGCAAAATGAAGAAAGAGATATAAAGAGGCGAAAGAACGGCCGCTTCCGTGAGTAATTACACTAGTCAACACTAGAATTAGGTTTTGGCCCAAAATTTAGATTCTTATAGATTTCGGGGTTAAAAAAAACGCAAATGTTTGCACACTTTCTACCAAATCTCTTCATTGTAATCTATTAAGAAGAGAAAAATACAAAGAGACCGAAACAAAGTTCAATTAACGATTAAATTTTATTTTGCATCTTATCTATGTTCTAATCGTACGTTCGCGACCGAAAAAATTATTTTATTGTAATTGCTCCGCATTAAATGTAATGTAAACTACATGTTTTAAACAAGTTTGGTGTAACTTATTTAAATATAAAACTAATATAAAATATTCTAAAGACGCAACTCTACTTATACCCGTACTCAGTCAGTATTTACATTTTTGAGCACATGATTTTTTAGAATTTTAGAATTAAATTAAATTTTTTTGCTACATCTGTTATCTACATCTACATATATTATGTTTCTTCTACATCTAACATGTAGATTATACATGTATGTACCATTTAGATTCTACATCTCCTACCCTAGGGGTTGCTCGCGCACTGAATTTCTTCATTCTGGCTATAATTATGATCCGATCTGATTCAGATTTAGCAATCTGGTAGATATGGTCATTCTCTACGATACTGAGTTTTTATACCCGTACTCAAAAAAGAGTTAAGTTATTAGATTTGTGGTAAATATGGATGTGTGCAACGCAGAGAAGGAAACGTTTCCGACCCCATAAAGTATATATATTCTTGATCAGCATCAAAAACCGAGTCGATATAGCTATATCTGTCTGTCCGTCTGTCTGTCTGTCCGTCTGTCCGTCTCGTTGAGCGCCTAGATCTCAGAGACTATAAGAGCAAGAGAAACCAAATTTGGTTTCCAGACTTATGTGATATCCCACTGCTACAAGTGTATTTCAAAATTTCGACCCGCCCCCTTCCGCCCAGGCACATTTTTAAAGATACGATGAAACTAAAAACGCATTATCGTACAGAATGCCCATATCTACCAGACTGCGGAATCTGAATCAGATCAGATCATAATTATAGCCAGAATGAAGAAATTAATTTTCAGTTGCTTCCCCTGCCCCTTCCTGACCACGACAACGAAACTCATTTTCCTTCTCGCTCGCACACTCTGCCGCGTTCAGTGCAGAGCAACCCCTAGCTGAGGAGATGTAGAATCTAAATGGAACATGTACAATCTACATGTTAGATGTAGAATATACATTGTAGATGTAGATAGCAGATGTAGCAAAAAAATTTAAAATGTAAAACTTTTTTTTTTAATTCTAAAATTCTAAAAAATCTTATGCTCAATAATGTATATACTGACTGAGTACGGGTATAAGTAGAGTCGCGTCCCCAGAAGCGACTCACACGTTCCTTCTCGTTAGCTGTATCGTATCTTTAAAAATGTGCCTGCAACGATTTTCGTCCTTTGTGTGGGCGGAAGGGGGCGGGGCGAAATTTTGAAATACACTTGTAGCAGTGGGATATCACATGAGTCTGGAAACCAAATTTGGTTGCCCTAGCTCTTATAGTCTCTGAGATCTAGGCGCTCATCGAGACAGACAGACAGACAGACGGACAGGCAGACATAGCTATATCGACTCGGCTATTGATGCTGATCAAGAATATATATACTTTATGGGGTCGGAAACGTTTCCTTCTCTGCGTTACACACATCCACTTTTACCACAAATCTAATATACCCCTTAACTCTTTTTTGAGTACGGGTATAAAAAATTTGGGGTTACTATTAGCCAAACTTTTTATTTTGATTTATAAGTGTATAAGTAGTGTAAGTGTATAAGCGTAGAGTCGCGGCCACATCAGCGACTCACAACGTTCCTTCCTCGTAAATCTTAATATATTTATTAAATTTATTTCTAATCACACCTAAAATTGTACACACAAGTAACCAAAAAAATTGCGAATTCCTGTTGACCTCTGTTCTCTGTTCCTTAATTCTCGAATTTTTTGTTTTGTTTTGATATCATATTATGCGATGGCCAAAACGATGGCATATTTAACTAAAATATTTCAATTTTTATTACAAGATAAATATTGCAAAGCAATTTGGGAATGAAACACTATCGATTTCAAAAAGTTACGAAAACCGGAGAACACATTTAAATATTGTAAGGTCCAATCTCAGGCTGAGGTATGCTTCAGTCTGTCCAGGGTCCTGAATTACAAGTTATTTATAATTCGCAGGACTTTATTTGGAAAACCAGGAACTCGGCCAGCAACTGAAATAGAATTGGTTATTTGGAATCAAAACACGATTGGTTTATGTTGAAGTTTTAATTTGTATCTTTATTTAATGTGTTTGAAGCGTGTTAATTCAAGTGAACTGCTAGCTAACTTCCGAACGAACTGACTCGAACTGCCAACCGAACTGAACTCCGAACTGAACTCTCTTAGTACCGGGAGAACTCCGATATATATAGTGTTTTTTCCTATTCTTAATAGTAGGGCCAGTGCTGCTAGGTATGATTCGATGGCACGTGTGCTGAGTCTTCAGGTTTCCTGTCTGCTGCGTGTGCTGAGTCTTCACTTCGTTGGGTGTTGCCCTCGTTATTTGAGAGTTTTGGTTACTTGGTTTTGCTGTTGGTTATATGGGGGGTTGGTTATATAATTTTTGCCAGCGCCTTTCCGTCGATTGGCCGCGCGTGTGCTGAGATTCTCGTCTTTCTTCTGTCTGCGTCTTTTGACCTGCGCTGCGGATTTGTTGGTGGTGATATATTCTTCTTGATGTATCGTTGGTGGCTCCGACTGCTTGTGACGAACCATGGGATCCATGGTTCGTTACAATATACCAAAATTCGGAGCATGTCTAATAATAATACGAGTATGTACAATAGGCTGCTCCAAAATTTGACCCAAAAAATTTGTTTTTGTTTTTTCAAGGGGACACCCCTTTGTTCAGAAGTTCAGCTGAGGTTGATATATTTAGTTAACTAGTTCGCAAAAACTTGTGCGGGATTTTTACTACCAATAGCTGATTAATGACGATATGAATGGTATCAATAAATATGCAATAGATTTCACCAATTATCCAACTCATTCAGCAAAAAAATGTTTAAACAAAAATAGGAGGTGTCCCGTTTGAATTTCGAAAAAAATGTTTGGCCCAGCCTAATATGCACTTAAATAAAATGAGCGAGATATTTATAGCAGCCAATGGCAGTTCATTGATGTAAAGTAATGGAGAGATAGAGAGATATTCACCGGACGGTTTTGTTACAGATTACACTACTCGACACGAGTTTTCCTCAAGGAACAAAATCAACTTTTTCTTAAAGACTTAGGGCTTAAAAATGGTTTGATAAAAAACGAAATTTTGACTTAAAAAACTCGGGAAAAGTAAAAATAAAATTATATCCTGTGACCTTTATTTTTTGTGAATTTTTTTCATTTTTTAGGTTTGGTTAAGGAATTTTATCTCCAAAGTTTCTCCATAGATTTTAATGAACAATACCTTAAACGCCTAATTAATGCACCTATACACAAAAAAATATAGGTCACAGGATATAATTTTTTTTCGACTTTTCCCGAGTTTTTTAAGTCAAAATTTCGTTAAAAATACCGCAGACGGTAAGCTGAAATCACCAAGTGTTTGGGCTTAACTTCTATCTTTACAACCAGACGTAGGATACTAGAGTTATGGGGAAAAAAGCGCTACCTCTGAAAAAAGCTATACAAAAAATACAAGAATTCAAAAATTCTTCAAAAAAAAGTTCTGCAATAGTAAAAAACCATAATTCTTTATACAATTTTAAAGTCCCATATCTATCAGAAAAGGTTGGTTTGGATTCTTTAGGAAAAAAAAGTTGGATTTTGTCGAGTAGTGTTATTGGTCATTAGATGGAATACATAATGCATATATAATTCATAATACATACTAACATATGTATATGTATGTATACTGACAGAGAACCAGGTATGTGCATTGCAAAAGGCCGCGACTCATAGCGTACTTACTGGTTTACCTTTCACCATACTTTATCAAAAATGTCCACTTTACAAATTACACATTTAAAGTTTTTTTCAAAGTAATTTGTACATTTACATAAAATTATTATTTTCCTTCTTGTAAAACTAGGATACCCACTTCATTGGCAAAAAATCGCCAGACGCTCCCTCTTTTGTATCATGGAACTGGCCGCTAATTCGGAAATGTACTTTTTTTATTTTTGTCTCTACTATTTTAGCTATGTGCTCTATAGTTGTTGCAAAAATATCTAATATGCCCAAATCTTGTAATCCAAAGTAAGATGTTATATAATTAAACATGTACGTATTACTTATGATTCTGTTTTGTATTACAGAACAACATGGTACCGTGGAGGTGTATTTTACGAAATGAGATTTCAGGATTCGGAGTATGCAGGAATTAATGATATAAATGAAATTATCAACCACCTTGATTACCTCTCCTCATTAGATATAGCAGCAGTCAGGCTTAATTCTATTTTTCTACCAGGAAATATAGATAATGTCACATCGACACTTCACATAGATCCTGCAATTGGGACTGCATTCCAGCTAAAGGTTTTAATCGATGCCTTAAAATCCCGAAATATAGCTCTGCTCTTAGATATACCATTACATACAATATTTGTTGAAATCCACAGCAACCAAGAAATAGTCTATAATCAAATTACTAGAACAATAACTTCGTGGGTTGACAATGGAATAAGCGGATTTTATTTAAAAGGACTTGATTTGTTTTTAAATGATTTGGCGCTTCTTAAATGTTTAGAAATATGGAAACGTATAGTTGGCAAAAATAGAATTCTGATAATTAACGAGAATGTTTTAAAAGGAAAACCAACTTCATTATTAACAGAAATTCAGCAACATATTGATCTTGTGGACGTTTGCCTAGACCTGGAAGGTGGCACAAAAAAAATTACAAAGCGCATAGAAAATATTTTAGAAAACATGCCGCCAGCCGAATATTCAGCTTGGATACACTGGTCGATTATTGATTCCAAATTTAAATATCAGCACGATCGAGATTCATCCAATTCGAATTTAATAATAGCTGGCACAATAATGCAGCTTATGCTGCCAGGTACACCAAATATAATGTATGAGGATGAAATGAATGGAGGAATATATAACAATATAAAAATTCATAAGCCAACTGATAGACTTAAAATTGTAAGAAATATGATATCTTTGCGAAAGCGTTCCCCCGCTATATATAAAAGTATAATTTGTAAGTCAAATAGTAATATTCAGAATACCTTAATTCGACATACCAATGACGACACACTTATTATCGTACGCAACTACCCACGAAGAAACTCTTTTGCATCTGTTACAAACTTAGGCCAGAATAAAATTACATTAGACTTGACATCGACATTTTATAGTGGCACTCGAATGCTCACTAATGAAACCAATAAAATATTTTTTAAAAATTTTGAAATAGATCCGTTTGATACCATTGTTGTTAAATTAGATAAGTAGAATGCATCTTTTTTATTATATATTAATTTTATGTTTCAGCTAAAATTTAATAAATAAACCATACCTAAACCAAAAACTAGAAATAAATAATAGTGGTTGTGGAAGTCAATCTTCAAACAAATGTGAAGACTGCTTTAAGGCACGACAGAAGAATCATAAAATCATAACACTTAATATCTACCATCATTTGGACTTTTCTGTATTTTTCCTTAGTTCTCTTATTATCCTAGTCCATAACAATAATCGACACGATTTTTCCCCAAGGAACCAAACCAAATTTCTGAAAGATTTGGGTCTTAGAAATTGCTGTTTCAGATGTTTTTTTTAAGAATTTCTAAAAACTGGTTTTTTATGCTTTTTTCAGAGCTTTGTTTTTTCACATATCTTACGTATATTACATCTGGTTGTAAAGAGCTTTGCCTTTCTGAAAAGCTAGTTGATGCAGCTAGAAATTACATTATATATCACAAAGCAATACTTGTAAGCTTGGTATTTAAATCCAATTTTGCTATATATTAAATTAAAAAATGTCAAAACAAGCATTGCTTGATCCATATTAAACAATACCTTAAACGACGCCGAATTAATGCACCTATACAAAAAAATCATCGTTTTTATACCCGTACTCAAAAAAGAGTTAAGTTATTAGATTTGTGGTAAATATGGATGTGTGCAACGCAGAGAAGGAAACGTTTCCGACCCCATAAAGTATATATATTCTTGATCAGCATCAATAGCCGAGTCGATATAGCTATGTCCGTCTCGATGAGCGCCTGGATCTCTGAGACTATAAGAGCTAGAGAAACCAAATTTGGTTTCCAGACTTATGTGATATCACACTGCTACAAGTGTATTTCAAAATTTCGCCCCGCCCCTGTGGGAGGCACATTTTTTAAAATACGATAAAACTAAAAACGCAGTATCGTAAAGAATGATCATATCTACCAGATTGCCGAATATGAATCAGATCGGATCATAATTATAGCTATAATGAAGAAATTAATTTGTAAGGTCCTATTTAAGGCTGAGGTATGCATCAGCCTGTCCAGGGTCCTGAATTACAAGATATTTCTAATTCACGAGGACTTTATCGGGAAAACCAGGAACTTTGCCAGAAACTGAAATAGAAATCACAACACTTTTTGGTTCTTTTAATTTTAATGGTTTTCTTTATTCTTCCGTATTCTTCCGTATGATTATTCTACCCGGTTATGTTATGTTTTAATTGTGCTACGACGCGTATGGTAGTTTGATTCGACTGCCGCCCCCGATGGTTGGTGGACTGCCTTTTTGTAGATCGGCCGGCCTTCCATGAATGTCTTATAGATATCTTATTTCTACTCCAGACCGTGGGAAGGGTTCTTACATAAATATCTATGGTCGAGGTATAGTCTGATCGGTAACAGAAGGTTACCTAATCATTTGCCCTGCAGTCAATGTCCAATATTCCCGGTAAGGAAAGTCGGAGACTGCTGACTGGCTTGCGCATGTGGGGGGTTTTGCTCGGTAATCGAGAGTTACCTAAGCAATCGCCTCCCAATAGGTGTCCAATGTCCCCGGTGAGGTGATCGATATGCACCGGTACCGTGGGAAAGGAATGTAACTTTAGGGAAATTTGAGGTTAGCGTTTATTTATGCGGTTATACATGTAGAGATATTTAAAGACAGGTGTTCCTGTATTGTGACGAACCATGGGGAACCAAGTTTTCATTTCTTTGGGTGTTGAACTCGTCATTTGAGAGCGTTCGTGACTTCCGTTGTAGTGGGGGTTGGTTACATATTCTGGGTCCGCGGGTTTTTGGTTCTTGGCTGCGCGTGTGCTGCGTACTCGTCTTTAGGTTCGTTGGCTTTGGCTGGTCAGCTGCCAATATATGGAAACCAAAGTCGGGGCTAGGGGGATTGCGGGGGGCTAGTGGTAGTATTTGCCTCGTCGGTGGCATCCCTGTCCTCGTGGAATTCCTTCAGGTCGTTGATGTTAGCAACCTTCGCTTTTCGGCTGCCCGGATGCTGTAGTTTTACAATGTTCGGTGATGCAAAACCTTTGACTCGGTAGGGTCCATCGTATTTCGGTGCCAGTTTAGCGGCGAATCCGTCGGCCGCGTTGGAGAGGTGGTGTTGTCGTAGAAGTACTAGGGATCCAATAGTGGGGCGGAGGTTGTAATGCCTTCCTTGTTCTTGGCTTGCCCTCTGGATGTTATTTCTGACACTGGTGAATACTTCGCTGAGTTTGGTTGCCTTGCCAAGAGCGGTCTCTGGGGGGCTCCCTGTGCGCGTCGTGACTTCGTCATAAAGCGTTCCAGGCAAACGGGGCTCCCTTCCATGCAGTCGGAAAGCTGGGCTGAATGCCGTTGTCTCAGAGACGCTGGACTTTACTGCGAGTGATATTCTCGGTATTAATTCGTCCCAGGTGTTTTGATGATCCCCTACGAATTGGGCAATCATGGTCTTGACCGTCCGATTTGCCCTTTCCGTTGGATTTTCCTGGGGGCAGTACGGTGCGGTATGTTGCAGTTGTACTCCTGCTGTCTGTAGAAATTACCGAAACGATCGGCTCGTGAATTGCGTGCCGTTGTCGCACACAAAACGTTTGGGTATGCCGAAATGGCTCAGGATTCGTTCTCGAAAAGCCAGTTCCAGGGTAGCGGTGGTGGCCTTTTTGAGTGGTACCAATTCGACCCACTTCGTGAAAGTGTCAAAGAAGACTAGCATCATCGTGTTTCCCTTCTTCAATCGCGGTAGTGGTCCAACGAAGTCAGCGCATAGTGTAGCGAATCAACAAATTAAGACCGCCCCCTTATTATTGTGTTCGACAGGCAAAAATTGTGCTTAACTGGTCAAAAAGAATAACTGATAGCAATTGGCAAAAACTCATTCTATGATACACGTACCAACGTAAAAGTAGAGGGTAGACATAGGAATGACAACAAAAATACAAGTCAATGACGAACAAAATGGCAATGTACATAGCACAGTAGAGATCCACCAAGTTGAGGAACCACACAAGACGAAATGGACCGGTCCCAATGCACAAAATGCCAGAAGAATGGACAGCACAAAAGCCTATTGCACTCTACGGGCAGTCTGCGTTGCCTGTGGTGATTTTCATCTCACTGAGGCCTGCCCCGTAAATAAGGAGGACTGATCTGCCAAAAAATGTAGCAACTGTGGGGGAAACCATTCTGCCAACTAGAGAGGTTGTCCTGTCTATAAAGAATTGAAAAATCGCCTAAACCAACATATATCTGCAGCTCGAAACCCGGTCGTTCGACAAAACTTACCATATATACCATCAACTACGACTCCAGGAGTTTCTTTTGCTCAGGCGTTAAGTCACAACAAATTCTCTAGCCGACACTTCAACCAACCACAGCTGGAACAATGCAGCATCAGGCATCAAATCAGATCGCAGAAATCTCTGCCCAACATACCCCTGCTAATCCATCCCAGTTGCCTAGTGGAATTGAGTCAATGCTGGTAACTATAACTAACACAATGGTAGCAATACAACAAACGATGCAGGAGCTTATGCGCAACCAAAATCTCCTCCTGGAGCTCCTCATCAAACAGAAATGTGTTTAAATGTCCTGTCTAAATATATGTTTCTGGAATGCAAATAGCATTTCGCAGCACAAATGCGAGCTCTTACAGTTCCTCGCTCAACACGACATTGACGCCATGCTCATATCAGAGACTCACCTAACAAATAAAAACTATTTTCACCTCGATGGCTATAACTTCTATGCGACAAATCATCCCGATGGTAAGGCACATGGAGGTACTGGCGTTCTGATCAAGAATCGCATTAGGCATTATCCATTGCCTTCATTTGCTACACCTTATCTACAGGCAACAGCAATTCATATTGAAATTCAGTGCGGCTACCTAAACCTAGCCGCAGTATACTGCTTCTGCATTTCCGAAACAGAATTTTTAACATTCTTCGACCTACTAGGTGACCGATTTATAGCAGCTGATGACTACAATGCCAAGCACACCCATTGGGGATCTAGACTTACCAACCCGAAAGGAAGACAACTATATAACGCTATAATAACCCCACGACACAAGCTAGACTTTATCTCTCCGGGCAAGTCCACATATTGGCCCACAGATCCAAACGAGCAACCCGACTTGATTGATTTTGCAGTTACACGAAGGGTGCTACAAGCTGAGATTAATGTAGATCACTTAACAGATCTATCATCGAATCACTCGCCCATTCTACTTCACCTTTACAACCATCCACAGCTTTCGGAACGCCCACACTTTCTAACTTCTAGCAAAACAGATTGGCTCAAATACAGGAAGTACATAAGCTCTCATATTGATAGCTGCCCAAACATTAATTGTAAAGATGACATTGATAGGTCAGTCGAAGCATTGGTATCCTCAATGTCACTGGCAGCAAAACACTCAACACCAATATTAGCATCTAATAAACTTTCCAACAGCAGTCGTATTTCTAGGCACATTGAAGTGCTGCTACGCGATAAAAGAAGGCTTCGCCGAGAGTGGCAAGCACACAGATCACCTGCCTCGAAAGAGCGGCTAAAAATAGCCAACCACCTACTACGCAGAGCCCTAGAAGATGAAAAAACCGAGCTCAAATATCCTATATGAAGCAACTCTCCCCAACTAGCAAACGAGTCCCACTGTGAAAGGCAAATCAGGCAAATGGCCACCAATCGAGAGTGAATCACCTTTGCGTACACAAACAGGAGAGTGGGCTCGCAGCAACAAAGAGAAGGCAAATACATTTGCCGTCCATCTAGAAAACGTCTTCAAACCACACCCAGCAACAAAAAGCTTTGTGCTCTCACCAACCAATAATCCCGAAGCTAATCCGCCTGTTATATTCCAATCAGGAGAAGTCACAAGGGTCATTAAAGACCAAATCTCAAAGCAAAAGAAAGCTCCGGGCCACGATTTCATCTCCCCTAGAATGATCATAGAATTGACGAGCTGTGCAGTATATTTCCTTACTGTGATATTCAACAGCATGATGAAATGGGGCTATTATTCTCAAGAATGGAGGAAACCAGTCATAACAATGATCCATAAAGCCGGAATAGACAAGTCCAA